ATTACAGTTTATTTGATAAAATTAGAGTATATTACTCACTTTTTTTTTATTTTAAGCAACGTTTTCAAAAATGCTTCTATCAGGAACTGTAACTTGCACAGAAGTGAAAAGAACAAAAGCAAACGCGCGGAGAAATAATTTCGAATCTGTTTCGCCTGGTCGCCGTTTGCTTCCCTTGTAAGTAGTCGCAGAATTAGTTGCGCGGTAATAGGCGTAGAGCTAGTTCGAGAATTGACCACCCCTTTAGTTCTACAGGAAATTATTCTATGCATACAATCATATATTTTGGAGTGTTACATGTACAAACAAATATGCTTGCTTGCTTGTCACGTCATGAGCCGAACGCGGTCGATCCCAGAACCGAACGTCGTCGACGCCAAAGCCAAAGACCTGTTACCGTACGCTGAAACTTCAGTTGCACCACTTTCGTTGTATGAACTGGCACATCTATATACTGTATGGTTAGTGGCGATACCAAACGTGGCCGTACAAGAAAAATTTATATGGAGGCCAGAAATCCCAGAAATTACCAAACTTTTTAATCCAAATGACCATTGGGTCCTAATAAGCCTAAAAGTGACCTAGGCCAGACACTTAAATAGCAGCCCTCGAACTAGCCGTCGGGTAGAAATTGATTCTAAAACACAAAGGAGGTAAACAAAAATATTAACCTAATCCATTACATACTCTTCAATATTTCTAGAATCAAAAGTAATTATAAGAGTGAATACAAAAGTTAATACTTTTTGATTTAAGGATTATTTTGAATACAAGGACATATGAGTTCAAACTTTTGGTGTAAGATATACAATTGTATATTATTTACTTAGTTTAATAAGTTTTTTCTTGAGAAACATACCAAAACTTTATAAAACGAAATAATTACGCATTTTGATTATCGACATTTTACTGTCCGCTCCTGTATGTTCAAAACTAAGTTCGTAACGAGAGTAAGAGCGGCAAATCAAGATATTTTGAGTTCAAGACGATTTGATTCAAGACGATGTTAATTGATGACTAATGCAAGACTGTGTGGGAAAAGAATTAAATCCAGATAGATTAAAAGCGCAGACTGACAGTGTAATAGCTTTTTCACACTGCGCGCGTTGTTTTGAGAACTGCATTGTACAAAAGTACTTTATACTCCAGTTTTAGTGGTGAACTGATACTGTAGCCAATATAGATTTAAGTAGATTTTTCTTCGCTTCCATGTGTTTACGCCAAGTAAGCCTTCTATCCAGATGAACACCAAGGTATTTTACTTCGCTGGTTTGAGGAATGTTGGAATGTTTAACGTAAAAGTGATATGCTTGCACTTTTGCTCATTGGCATGTATCCGCCAGTCTACTAGCCATTTTTCTAAGGCCACGAGATGAGATGATAAGTGTGGCCCTTCTTGAGCACTTGGAGCAACTTAATATGGCAGTATCATCAGCAAATGTCGAAGTTGTTGTTAGGCTGTTTGTCGGTAGATCTGCTGTGAATATGATATACAGTGTCGGTCCAAGCACGCTGCCTTGCGGTACACCAGCTTCAATTGGATGATATTCAGAGAGGAAATCTTTGCATCGTACTGCGAAACTTCTTTGCTGTAGGTATGACTCCATTATTCCATGGATGTTCTGTGGAAGTAATATTTTGATTTTGTGGATTAAGCCATCTAACCAAACGCGGTCGAAAGCCTGTGCGACATCCAGAAAAACAGCGGAGCAATACTCCCGTCTTTCAAATGCATTTCGTATCTCAGAGGTTATACGGTTTACTTGTTCAATGGTTCCGTGTTTTTCGCGAAATCCAAATTGGTAAGTCGGGATGGCACCGTTGATGTGTAGGTGTTGCTTGATACGATTCAGGAGCAGCTTTTCAAATATCTTTGATAGGCAAGGCAGTAGGCTGGATGGGTCAATATGATGATGGCTTGGACTTGTCTTTTCCGGCTTTATGGATCATTGTGATGACTGATTTCCTCCATTCTTGAGGATAATAGCCCCATTTGATCATGCTGTTGAATATCACAGTAAGGAAATACACTGCACAGCTCGGCATTTCTATGATTATTTTAGGGGAGATGAAATCGTGGCCCGGAGCTTTCTTTTGCTTTGAGATTTGGTCTTTAATGACCCTTGTGACTTCTCCTGATTGGAATATGATAGGCGGAGTAGCTTCGGGATTGTTGGTTGGTGGCAGCACAAAGCTATTTGTTGTTGGGCTGCGAGCCCACTCTCCTGTTTGTGTATGGAAAGGTGATTCACTCTCGATGGGTGGGCATACGCCTGATTTAGCTTTCACAAAGTGGGAATCGTTTGCTAGTTGGGGAGAGTTGCTCCCCATAGGATATTTGAGTTTCGTTTTTTTCATCTTCTAGGCCTCTGAGTAGTAGGTGGTTGGCTATTTTTAGCCGCTCTTTCGAGGCAGGTGATCTGTGTGCTTGCCACTCTCAGCGAAGCCTACTTTAATCGCGTAGCAGCACTTCAATGTGCCTAGAAATACGACTGCTCTTCCTGTTACTGCAAAATCAATCAAGTCGTGTTGCTTGTTTGGATCTGGGGGCCAATATGTAGGCTTGCCCAGAGAGAATATATAGTTTTCTTCCTTTCGGATTGGTAAGTCGAGATCCCCAATAGGTATGCTTGTCATTGTAGTCACCAGCTACTATAAATCGGTTACCTAGTAGGTCGAAGAATGTTACAAATTCTGTTTCGGAAATGCAGAAACGCGGTGGGCAGTATACTGCAGCTAGGTTTAGGTAGCCGCTGTGAATTTCAATATGAATTGATGTTGCCTGTAAATAAGGTGTTTGCGAATGATGGAAATGGATAAATCCTGATGCGATGCTTGATCAGAAGGCTGTACGTCCATGTGCCTTACCATCTGGATGATTTGTCGCGTAGAAGTTATAACCATCGAGGTGAAAATATTTTTTATTTGTTAGGTGTGTCTCTGATATGAGCATGGCGTCAATGTCGTGTTGACCGAGGAACTGTAGGAGCTCGCCTTTGTGCTGCGAAATGCCATTTGCATTCCAGAAACATATATTTAGACAGGCCATTTAAACAGATTTCTGTTTCATTAGGAGCTCCAGGAGGAGATTTTGGTTGCGCATAAGCTCCTGCATCGTTTGTTGTATTGCTACCATTGTGTTTGTTATAGTTACCAGCATTGACTCAATTCCACTAGGCAATCGGGATGGATTTGCAAGGGTATGCTGGGCAGAGATTTCTGGGATCTGATTTGATGCTGCATTATTCTTGCTGTGGTTGGTTGAAGTGTCGGCTTAGAGACTGAGGCGTACGACCCGTTGTTGTAACTTAACGCCTGAGCAAAAGAAACTCCTGGAGTCGTAGTTGATGGTATATATTGTAAGTTTTGTCGGACGACCGGGTTTCGACAGGACAACCTCTATAGTTGGCAGTATAGTTTCCCCCACAGTTCCTACGGTGCAGTAGATATTGAAGCTTGTAGATTGGGTGAACTTCATTTTTACTTATATGCATACTGTCAGGTGTCAGTTCTACCTTGAACATTGGCTGGGGAATTTTATTTCTATTTATTATGTTCATAGCCATTTTGACTTCGAATCCCTTCGCTACTTTTAAGTTGTAGGTGTAGTAATTAATTTTTTCATTTTAGAGGTATTTCGCCACGTATCGATAGTTTTGTTCGTCATTGACTTGTATTTTTGTTTCATTTATGTTACCCCTTTTATGTACGTGGCATAGAATGTGTTTGCGCAAATTGTATCAGTTTTTTTTTTTTACCAGTAGAGCACAATTTGCCTGACAAACATAAATAGGTGTCGGCTTTAATTTGTTGGCATTGGGTGTTTGGGCGATCTCATCTTCATTTAGGACAGTTCTTATCCAGCAGAATCTTAATGGCCTACGTGGTCACAAAAAGGCTCTCCTGTTAAAAATACAATCAGTTTAAAGGTTTTTATTTATGGATTTTATGTATATTTTTACCTTTTCGCACAATCATAACTTTTTAGTGCATTTTTGATTTTTGAACTGCAAGTTTTTGTTAGTGGTGATAGTTGCGCTGATAGACAGAAAAGTTCAAAAATGTGCTCCTTAGCGCAAAATCAATCGAATATTTCGACAAACCGCACATGCATCCGAAAGTGACGCAACCTTTTGCCACCACTAGAGCCCTATGCTTAACCTATGTAAAAAAAAATACGTCTCCGGCAAGACGCAAAGAAGCATGACGCAGCGCCAGTCTGAACAGCCTATTAGGAAGAACTTACCCCTATACTCTTTGAATGCCAGGTATACAAAATATAAAGAACGAGAAGGAACGTGTGAGTCGCTTCTGGGGACGCGACTTTACTAATACCCGTACTCAGTCAGTACATACATTTTTGAGCATAAGATTTTTTAGAATTAAAAAAAAGTTTACATATTACATTTTTTTGCTACATCTGCTATCTACATCAACAATATATATTTTACATCTAATATGTAGATTATAGATGTACCAGGGGGGAGGGGGCGGAAGAACCAACAGAAAATTAATTTCTTCATTCTGACTATAATATATTCCGATCTGGTTCAGATTCGGCAATCTGGAAGATATGGGTATTTTCTACGATACTGCGTTTTTAGTTTTATCGTATCTTTAAAAATGTGCCTGCCACAGATTTTCGTCCTTTGTTGGGGCGAAAGGGGGCGGGGCGAAATTTTGAAATACACTTGTAGCAGTGTGATATCACATGAGTCTGGAAACCAAATTTGGTTGCCCTAGCTCTTATAGTCTCTGAGATCCAGGTGTCAAACAAGACGGACAGACGGTCAGACGGACAGACAGACATGGCTCTATCGACTCGGCTATTGATGCTGATCAAGAATATATATACTTTATGGGGTCGGAAACGTTTCCTTCTCTGCGTTACACACATCCACTTTTACCACAAATCTAATATACCCCTTAACTCTTTTTTGAGTACGGGTATAAAAATATGAATAAATTTGTAATTTTGTGACTTTCATACATTTTTCCAGCACCCGGTCTTCCAAAGGAGTTATTCCCGAAGAAAATGTTGACGATTTTGCAAATGCTGAGTTGAGTTCAACAACTGTAAAAAATGGTAATTGCACATAAAAACGTGTTTTTTATAATAACCGACCAATTTTATATTTTATGGGTTTAGAAAGAGTTGATAACTATATTCCGATGACTCCTATTAAGCCCATAAGTGATACTGCTCATGAAATATTGCAGTCTAATCATATTTTGTTGAAAAGTGCTGGCGCTGAAGAATTAAATTTTAATTTTCCTGAGCATACATCCGAAAAACTTATTAAAGATCTTGATATAGATTCGGACAATCAGTAAGTATATATTCTCTTATAATTACGTGTTCTGTAAACATATCCATACCCTTGCAGGAAATTACAACTCTCTTTCTAATGCACAGAATACATAAATTCTGGTCCTATTTAATTAAAGATATTCATGATTTATTTTAAACAGACAGCATTCATATCCGGTGCTCAAGGAGTAACGGGTTTTATTAAATTCGTAGAAATATGTATAAAAGCACTTACATATAGTCATGGTCAGTATAAACAGCCCAGGTATTATGGCCATGTCGTTCTCATTGGGGTCTAGTTCTCTCAGGGACTATGAGAGCTAGAGCAACTGTTTGGTTTGACGATGATCTGTCTATTCAATTCATAAAAGAAGAATATTTAGCTTTTTACTAGTTGTTAAATTTATTTCAGGCTAATTATACCCGTACTCAAAAAAGAGTAAAGGGGTATATTAGATTTGTGGTAAAAGTGGATGTGTGTAACGCAGAGAAGGAAACGTTTCCGACCCCATAAAGTATATATATTCTTGATCAGCATCAATAGCCGAGTCGATATAGCCATGTCTGTCTGTCTGTCTGTCTGTCCGTCTGTCCGTCTTGTTTGACGCCTGGATCTCAGAGACTATAAGAGCTAGGGTAACCAAATTTGGTTTCCAGACTCATGTGATATCACACTGCCACAAGTGTATTTCAAAATTTAGCCCCGCCCCCTTCTGCCCACACAAAGGACGAAAATCTGTGGCAGGCACATTTTTAAAGATACGATAAACCTAAAAACGCAGTATCGTAGAGAATGCCCATATCTACCAGATTGCCGAATCTGAATTAGATCGGATCATAATTATAGCCAGAATGAAGAAATTAATTTTCAGTTGCTTCCCCTGCCCCCTCCTGGCATGTAGATGTAGATAGCAGATGTAGCAAAAAAATGTAATATGTAAAATTTTTTTTTTTTTTTCTAAAATTCTAAAAAATCATATGCTCAAAAATGATATACTGACTGAGTACGGGTATAGAGTCGCGTCCCCAGAAGCGACTCGCACGTTCCTTCTCGTTACATATTACATTCACTTGAAATAACATTTAATCTAAGTGGAATCTCAAAAATTACAACCACTTTGTTCCTCGGATAATTCTAATATCTGAATACTTATAATTATAGTCGTACTCAAGGAGTTAAGGGGTATATTAGATTTGTGGTAAAAGTGGATGTGTGTAACGCAGTGAAGGAAACGTTTCCGACCCCTTAAAGTATATAAAATATAAGTCCCCTAGTTCTCAGAGACTATAAGGGCTAGAGCAACCAAATTTTGTGTTCAGACTATTGTGGTATCACACTGCTACAAGTGTATTTCGACAAACGACGAAAATCTGTAGCAGCCACAATTTTCAAGATACGATAAAACTAAAAACGCAGTATCGTATCGTATCGAATGACCATATCTACCAGATTGTCGAATCTTAATCAGATCGGATCATTATTATAGCCACAATAAAAAAATTAATTTTCAGTTGCTGCTCCCGCCTCGTCAAGGACGAGACCACGCTACTCATTCTCTTTCTCGCTCGCACACACTCTTCCCTGTGCAATTCGATAAAATGTGATTTCCGCCATCTCTCCATAGAGTTTTATGAGAAATACCTTAAAATAACGCCTAATTAATGCACATATACAAAAAAAAGGATCCAGGATATTTTTTTTCGAGTTTTCCAGAGTTTTTATTGTCAGTATATTAGTTAGTAGTCAGAGGTGCGGTAAGCAACTGAAAATTAATTTCTTTATTCTGGCCATAATAATGATCCGATCTGATTAAGATTCGGCAATCGATACTGCGTTTAAGTTTTATCGTATCTTTAAAATTGTGGCTGCCACAGATTTTCGTCCTTTGTGTGGCGGAAGGGGGCGGTGCAAAAAATAGCAGTGTGATATCACATGAGTCTGGAAACCAAACTTGGTTACCCTAACTCTTATAGTCTCTGAGATCCAGTCGCTCAACAAGACGGACGGACAGACAGACATGGCTATATCGACTCGGCTATTGATGCTGATCAAGAATATACATATATACTTTATGGGGTCGGAAACGTTTCCTTCTGTGCGTTACACACATCCACTTTTACCACAAATCTAATATACCCCTTAACTCTTTTTTGAGTACGGGTATAAAAAATTCGAATCTTAAAATAAAAAGTTTTTATTTCTAAGTTAATTTTAACTGTTTCGGAAGCCATTAACAATTTTTGTTCTTTTCACGTGCTTGCGGCAAAAAGGCTTCCGAAAAAATTTGTCCGCACACAACCTTTTTCTTGAATAAGCGAGCACGCACAGAACATGCTTACTATGTACTATGCACTTTCGATGGGTACCTTTCAAAATAATATAAAAGCAGGCCAGTTGTAACTAGATCAGTTCCATGCTGTTAGGACAATCACCCCACTTCGAAATCGCCTAATGCCAGAAAAATTGTCAAAATGAATATTTCGCGAAAGTTTGGAACGGAAGGACTGGACAACTAACTTTTGAGTTTTACGTCTTAATTCGACGGAATATAGGTGAAATCAGAGAAAAATGGATCTTATCTCATATATTTGTTATTTTTTCTTGACGACCTTATATTTAGGTAGTGCGCACTAGCACTAACCATACAGTATATAGACGTGCCAGTGCATACGAATGTGGCTCAGCTGAATGTTCTGTCTCTGTATACACTTATTGACAAAATAATAGGTGTGCTTTACTTTTCTTTTTTAACTTCCTATTTCTAATTCAAATCTTCTCTAATATCAACCAATCAAAGTTTTTTTCAAATATTATATTAATTTTCATTAAACAAGAAGTAAAAACAGTTTCACAAACCCATTAATTTACAATAAAATTAAATATTTCCTTAAATCCGCCAATTTTGGCTGGGCACAATAATAGATGTACGAAGATTAATGTTTAAATTGAATCGATATTTTACTATTTCACACAAAGCCTTTCCGACCCCTCTTTTGAGTTCACCTCAGAGACTCTCGATGGGATTAAGGTCCGGGGATTGACTTGGCCACCCAAGAACATCCACACTTTGCTCTCGGAACCAGTCCTTTACTACTCGAGAGGCGTGCTTCAAGTCATTATCCTGCTGGAACTTCTATAAATGCGGCATATTATCCTCGGCATATGGTAGCATCATTGTCTCCAATAGATCTTTGTATACGAATCTGTACATTATTCCGTCAATAGGATGAATCGGACCAACACCATTCCATGAAAAGCAGCCCCATACCATTAGGCTACCAGCTCCATGTTTCACAGTTTTACATGTTTACCTGGGATCAAATTCTTTTCCTTTCGGACGTCGAACATTCCTTTTGGCATCATTTCCAAATAAATGTATCTTGGTTTCGTCACTCCAGAGGATATTACGCCATTTTTTCTCACCCTCCGGTCCGCACCAGGTTCTACGATGTAGTGAACATTTTTTCCTCATCTGTAAATTTGCCGACCGAAGCAAAGGAACCCTGCGAGTAATCCTACCTGGTAGGTTTGCTATTGCCAATCGTCGCCAAACGGTTCGTGACCAACTTCGTTGGTAATCGTCCTGGAAGACTTGAACGAGTCGCGTTTAACCAACTGAACCATGCGATCGTCGGTCTTAGATGATGATGTTCTAGGTGCTCCCCGAGTTTCACCTATTTTTTCCGATTTTAAGGCATTGGTTACGAAGTTTTGATATCGTTTCATTAACCTGGAAATGGATTTATAAGTTTTTCCTTCATCTCGGAGTCGTCGAATGAGCCTTCTCTCCTCCGCACTGCACTGACGCCCACGGCCCATCTAATACAATTTTAAGGCCTATTAAGTCACAATTATATATATTATATTATTATTATAATATTATAATATTTATATTATTATATTATATTTTCCTAATACCTTACCTTCTGCAACCGAATAGTTATCTTAATAAACTAAAAATTAATGTTTTGCTTCATACACCTATTTTATTGAACAGCCGAATTTGCAGTCTAAGCAATAAAACAATCAACAATTTTTCTATAGGGCCCTGTGTACTTAAAGTCTAATTTATATCCTACTTCATTTTTTAATTTTTTTTTTCTTCCTCTTTTTTATTTTTTTTCTAACATATTTCTTGCTCTTTGGTATGCTACTTCTAGTCCATGTTTACTTTCTATAGCATAGTCGTCTATATTATAAATCATTTCTATATTGTCTGCACTTTTGAATTGATTTGGTAAGTTGTTAGTTTTGCTAAATACTAACTCGTATGGACAATAATTATGTGCTATTGATGGGGATGTTTTAAAACAATATTCGAAATATTGAAGCCATACGTCCAAATCAGTTTCGTATGTATTTGTCGGAGACTCGGCTCCCTCATTGGTTTTATCAGCCATCTTCACTTCTTTTTTCTGCAGCGTGTCCAAGCGTGTGTGTCCTCTCTCCAACCTTGACTGACTGTCCGACTCACTAGGGTTGCCACTCTTCCCCTTTTCCACACTTTGACATACTCGGCTGACAGCATTCACTTCGCTGTCACGCCACGCTCTATGCAGCAACTCTACAACATCTATTAAGGGTATACACCAAAACTTCCCTTGATCCGTTCTAATTCTTTATTCAATAAACAATATAATTACTTATCCAACCTACGACACTCGAATTATACTTTCGTATATTGTTCAAAAAATGATTAGACTCAGGTGTCAATCCATTAAGTAATGTGCTCAATGGTTGTGGTGGGCTGCCCAATTAAGGCAATTTCACTTTACCACTCGCACAGCACATCCCATCTGCTTCACCTTTAAATTTTAATGCCTGACAATGGCGACAACGGTCGTTCATTGTACCAATTATAATTTGCCTATGAGAAGCGTAATCGGTGACACTACTGTACGCGAACGCAACACCTTGTAGATTTTGAATATCACGACGCTCATTTGCAGTTGTTGTTGCATCATTGTTCCGTTGATTTGAACGGGACTTTGCTGGGCGTAGACGATTATTTTCATTGCGATGTGTAATGTCTTGGCTACTTTCACGGCTCCTTGAAGCCACAACTTGAAACGAATTTCGCGTTCGCCGACCTAAATTTAATCGTCTCGACATTTAACTTTAAAACCACACAGGTTGGTTTAAAACGCACACATTTTCAAAAGCAACAAATATACTTACACAAATTGCAAGTTTTTCAGAAAACAAATTTTCACACAAAAAGGTTTAAAAAACAAAATCTATCATCAAATGTTCTCTTCTACAGAATGACACAAAATTAAATGAAATAGGCGTTCAAACACACATTTTTAGACCAAATTTGTTCTACAGAATGACACAAAATGAAATGAAGTAGGCGTTCAAACACACATTTTTAGACCAAATTTGAGATTTTTTTTCGATTCATTTTTAATTCTTGAGGAACCTACATATTTATAGAAAAGTACAAATTAGTTTGTGCAAACCAGGTCACATTCTCTGGCTATCATTAAAAAAAAATAGCATGGTGCAATTTGGTGCACGCGTTGCGGAGATAGCCGCTTACATACAGATTTTTTTCTACAAATTTATATATTTATTGTAGCACTATGTAGCATTTATTGTTAATGGAGTTCTAGTGTGCGTAGTTGTTTTCGCTTTTTGGCATTTTTGACATTTTCGGATGAACTCAGTTATATCTCGACTCAAACCTTTCCAGAAATAATGTTTTTTGACCTTGGCCAAGGTTTTTGTGATGCCTGTGTGACCTCCTTGTATGGGATCGTCTTGGCATGTAGACAAAATAGCTTCTTTTTATACCCATACTCAAAAAAGAGTTAAGGGGTATATTAGATTTGTGGTAAAATTGGATGTGTGTAACGCAGAGAAGGAAACGTTACCGACCCCATAAAGTATATATATTCTTGATCAGCATCAATAGCCTAGTCGATAGAGCCATGTCTGTCAGTCCGTCTTGTTTGACGCCTGGATCTCAGAGACTATAAAAGCTAGAGGAACCAAATTTTGTTTCCAGACTCATGTGATATCACACTGCTACAAGTGTATTTAAAATTTTCGCACCGCCCCCTTCCGCCCCCACAAAGGAAGAAAATCTGTGGCAGCCACAATTTTAAAGATACGATAAAACTAAAAATGCAGTATCGTAGAGAATGACTACATCTCCCAGATTGCCGATCTGAATAAGATCGGATCATAATTATAGCCAGAATGAAGAAATTCATTTTCAGTTGCTTCCCATGCCCCCTCCTGCCAACGACCCTGTAACTCATTTTCCACCTCGCTCGCACACTCTGCCGCGTTCAGTGCGCGAGCAACCCCTAGCGGAGGAGATGTAGAATCTAAATGGTACATGTACAATCTTCATGTTAGATGTAGAATATACATTGTATATGTATATGTAGATAACATATGGAGCAAAAAAATGTAAAATGTAACATTTTTTTTTAAATTCTAAAATTCTAAAAAATCCTAAGATTAAAAATATATATACTGACTGAGTACGGGTATAAGTAAAGTCGCGTCCCCAGAAACGACGCACACGTTCCTTCTCGTTCTTGTTAGTTTTTGTATTACGTTCACCGAGTTGATTGACTGATTACGGGTATAAGAGTAGAGTCGTGTCCACAGAAGCGACTCATATGTTCCTTCTCGTTTCTTTTTTTAAGTCCGATTACTATTCAGACTGCCCTCGTATTTTAAGGTTTGGCAATCACAGATATGCTTTTTATTGGAAATTGAACTGATTATATTGAACTGCTATTTTTCAGTATTTTAACTTATATTCAAACTATTTAAAATTGTTTTCTCAAATTTTGTTTCAGGTTTGATCGTCCTATTCGTGCTTACTCAATAGGAAATAAAGTTGAGCACTCAAAACTTAAACGCATTGGATACATAAATGATACTGGAAAGAACTCACATCGTGTTCGAGCTTATTCGGTTGGGTCAAAGTCCAAAATACCTCGATGTGATTTGCAACGTATTGTACTTGTAGAAAAGGATAAAAACAAATCTGGAACAAACGGGAGCCATAACAATATATTTATAGACGATTCTATTTTAAATGAAGTCATTCGTTCTAATACAATCCGAGAAAAAAAATCAACAAGTGCTCCTCTGTTAAGCCTTAAGCATCAAATAAACACTGATCGTATGAGTGATTTGATGGAAATTGATTTTTCACAAACAGCGAATTGGGAAAAAAAACAGCTCATTAAAAACAATGACATTCCCAAAAATATTGAAAATGTATTTCCAAAATACATTCGAAACACTACCTTTCGATCGGATTTAAATGTTACTACGGATCAAAACGTTTTTGGGAGAAATCAAATAAATAATGGCCTACATGGCCTATCAGATGGTGGATACTTGGAAATGAAACCTGTTGGTAAAGCTTACTGCGAGTCAAGTGTGTCTTCCCTTCCAAATAAAATGGAAAAGCTCAAGCTAAAAGACTATTCGGAAACACATATGCAGGCTTTTATTGATACGAGGAAAACAGATGAACCATCCGTAATTGTTGAAGAATTGCAGAACTCTAGTTTAAATGAAATTGGTTGTAAAACTATGGAATTGACCTCTTCTGACAGTAACGAGAATCTTGGTTTAATACGACAACGAACATACATGAGTCAAGAAATTGAAAGCAACAAGAAAAAAAAAGCAGAAGACGGCACTATAGACCCAAGCTACCCAGTCTTAGATAAAAAGAAATTAGTACATTCAATAAGCAATGAAGATTATACCCAAGTTACAGGAAACATCAGTCATTTTGCTAAATATAACGATTTTGGCTATAAAATTATTCAAATAAAAAGTGATAGCTCACTAATCTCATTAAAGAACAATCAAAAGGCCATTCCTAGTGACGATTCGGAGCCTAGACCAACAGAAAATTGTATTATGCTAGCCGACAATGTTCCCAGCTCAAGCACGAAATGCAATTTGCAGCTAAAAATACCTGATTTGAAAAGAAATGAGGCCAGTAAAATATCCAGATTTCTTCCAATTAAAAATTTAAATATCCCATCGGGTCATCCTTCACGCATATCCCAGCCTGAACTTTACTACGCAAGTCTTGATCTTCCCCATTATAGCGGAAAAAACGCTGGAGCCTTTCTCAAAAGAGGCTCATGTGAATCGCCGCCAGTTGCATTGTCTTTAGAAGCAGGGAATGCATATGCAAAAATAGATTTTGATCAATCAGACTGATCTTCCTCCTCATCGAACTTCTATAATATTTAAAGTAAATTGTTAACTATGTGTATATAACATTGTAAATTTATTGTACATATTTTTGGAAAAGCTTCAAATTTTATATAATAAACAATAAATTTTAATTACAGTGTAAACGATTTGGGTGAATTTTAGCTCTAACTGAACGCTTTGCAAATGCGTGAAATATGTTTATTCTTTATATATTTTTATTCTTGATAAAGCCATGTCGGTATGTCTTTCCGAGCCGTTTGCACCCAAGTTCTCAGATAAGGTAACCAAATTTGATGTGCTCCTGAGACTTCTGTCATATGATATAATGCGTTCGATTTCTTGTATCTTAAAAATTTTCGATGCCACAGATTTTCGTTCTTTGTGGAGGCGGAGTGAAATTTTAAAATACACTTGTAACAGTATCTTATGATATCTTATGAGTCTGGAAACAAAATTTGGTTGCTCTAGTTTATATAGCCCCTGAGATCTGGGCGCTCATCGAGACGGACGGACGCACAGACAGACAGGGCTATATCGATTTGGCTATTGATGCTGATTAATATACTTTATGGGGTCGGAAACGTTTCATAATTATAGCCAGAATGAAGACATTAATTATACCCGTACTCAGAAAAGATTTAAGGGGTATATTGTATTTGTGGTAAAAGTGGATGTGTGCAACACAGAGAAGGAAACGTTTCCGACCGATAAAATGTATATATTCTTGATCAGCACCAATAGCCGAGTCGATATAGCCATGTCTGTCTGTCCGTTTTGTTTGTCGCCTAGATCTCAGAGACTATAAGAGCTAGAGCAACCAAATCTTGTTTCCGGACTCATGTGATATTACACTGCTACAAGTGTATTTCAAAATTTCAGGCCCTGCCCCCTTCCGCTCACACAAAGGACGAAAATCTGTGGCAGCCACAATTTTAAAGATAGGATAAAACTAAAAAAGCAGTATCGTAGAGAATGCCGATATCCACCGGATTCTGAATCCGAATACGAATCTGAATCAGATCGGAGCATAATTATAGCCAGAATGAAGAAATGAATTTTAGTTGCTTTCCCCGGCTCATCCCGCTAGAGAACCACTACTCATTCTCTTTCTCGCTCGCACACTCTGCCTCTTTCTGTACTCGAGCGCCCGCTGGCTGTGAAGATGTAGAATATATATGGTACATGTATAATCTACATGTTAGATGTATAATATACATAGTAGATGTAGATGTAGATAACAGATGTAGCAACAAAATTTAAAATGTAAAATTTTTATGTTTAATTCTAAAATTCTAAAAAATTATAAGCTCAAAAATTTATATACTGACTGAGTACGGGTATAAAAGTAGAGTTGCGTAAACAGAAGCGACTCACACGCTCCTTCTCGTTTCATTTGAAAAATTTGTTGCTTATAGAATTTTCAATTGCTTAAGCCGGTCGTTCTTTCACGTCGCTCCTGCATTTTCTGCCTTTTTGCGATAATAACTCAATATTAATTGCTAATAATTGTGTACATCATTGAACCTATCATAGCTGATTACTAATTGTGCCGGTTATATGTGTTTCACTTGCTAACAATTGATTCAATATAAATTAAACATTCCAAACATTAATCAAACTTGCTCAAAAGATTTGTTAGTGCTTTTATCCATTCCGCTTTGGATCAACGCTCTCTGTGCTTATCGCTCGTGCGCCTCTCTGGAGCGCACACGTGCAAGCTCCCTTGCTCTCACTCTCTCTGGATTTTGCCGGCATTCTTCTTCAATTGCTCTTTCGGTGTCTCTGCTTTCGTAAGCTTCACCGTTTTTAGAAGAAATGCGAATTCGGTGGCACCATAGCCGGCGAGCTATACCTTAGCTGCTGGATATGTGAAAATTTTGCACATTTAACATGTGATGTTGGTAGTAATTTTGGTCGGCTACATAATTTAATTTTAAAACGTGTTGGCCTTACTTAGTCATGTTAAGCTGGCCGGGACATTGAGGCTGAATTGCGTACTTTTATGAGACGGACTCGTACTGGTTTTCTGGATGTCCGGAAGCAATTTGTCACTCTCGAGAAGTTCCTGACCTTGGAATCTAAATTTATTGAGATGCAATGCAAGTCAAAGTTCTTCAGTATATGTATAGTCGCGTGCAAAAGAAGCCGCCCGTTTTGCTTATGGGTGTAAAGCGAAGTCATCTCAATGTAAAGTAAGCTGCCGGCGGCTGTCGGTAGCGAGAGTGGGAGCGTGGTGAGTGTGAGCGCGCAAGAGGGTGTCACCGCACAGTTGTCGATTCTGCCAATCTGGCAGGCAATAAATAAAAAATTAAAATGTCGAATCTTGTTAATTTTTTTTAATTTTTGGAAAGTAAACATCCCACTTGTAACGAACCATGGTTCTAGCCATGGCTCGTCACAAACGGCGGAGGGTCAGCGCATCCACGCTGGCGGGAGACAATAACCAAACTGATATACACAGAGCTAACGAACCATGGCTCTAGCCACGGTTCTCCCCAAATAGCGGTGTGTCAGCACCCCGGATATAAAATAGTCTTAAGCAACGCACGCAGTTACTAAAATTAAGAACTCTCGATCAGCGAAAAACACAGCACGAAATTCTCGGTCACCCACTTCTTCTTGGCGATATTTCACAACCACTCGGCCTCGAATCACAGATATCACCTTCGCGATGCGGAGGTAGCAAAAACCCAATTTCCAACTGCAGCCCGCACCTTCCGGGATGCTGCCTCAGCAAAAACACACTGCCCCACTAACAATTGTCAACGAAGCACCAAGCTTCGACCCACTTACCACGCCCCACAATTATTGTCACCAATAATCATAAGTTAGCAATAAGCAATTATTTCCGGGTCTCAGGGCCAAGATCGGCCGAAAGACTAGGCAGTCCATCAGCCCGAACACAAGACACTGCACTAGGCAGTCCATCAGCCCGAATACAAGATACAGGCAGTCCATCAGCCCGAACACAAGACACTGCACTAGGCAGTCCATCAGCCCGAATACAAGACACAGGCAGTCCATCAGCCCAAACACAAGACACTGCAAAAGGCAGTCCCTCAGTCACACACCCAAGACACTGTACTACACAGTCCCTCAGTCACACACCCAAGACACTGCACTAGGCAGTCCCTCAGTCACACACCCAAGACACTGCACTACGCAGTCCACCAGCGCACCATTCAACCACGAGTTGAAGCAGCAGAATTTAAGTGAATGAAGAAAGTGAATGAAAAGAAACCAGAATACTAAATAAAAACCAAGAACAATCCAACAAAACCGTCGCCTCATCATTTCTCGCTGCCTACTACATTCTTTTACGAGCCAGCCCGACACCTGAAGTCACCTACAAACTACAAATTGTCTTGTAGCGGATCCTGGACAGACTGATGCTTACCTCAGCCTGAAGTAGGACCTCACACACTGATATTTATTGCGATATTTATATATTTTTCCTATCGATAGTCCAGTACCTGCACGCGGTTGAATCGCAGAAAACTTTTCTATCCATACCTAAGTACATTTTACTGCCTTTTTATGGCTTTTGGTAAAGCAAAATAAATCTTAATGTTTTGCGATTTGTAAAGAAAGAAATTATGGAGCGGAATAAGGATCGAACAGGGACTGGGATGTCAGCTCAAACGTCGGTGGAAAGCGTGACTGATACCACCGGCGGGCACGGGGAGGAGCAATCCTCTCTGCGTGTCGCCAGCGGTCACAACTCTTATATGGCGGGAGCAGGTCATATTAGTTTCAAAGCTTCTGCCACAAAAACGCCTCAATGCAAACTGAGCCGCACGGGTGCCGTGGTCGAAACAGACTCGGACCTGGAGAGCGTGCTCAGTGTAAGAAGAACGGAAGAAGAGAGCCTTCTCCGCTCGCCTGAACTAGGTACCAGCTCCCTGCGTAGGGAAGGGCCCAAGCGTTCTAGAGAGGGGATGAAGGCTAAGGCCCAATACAAGGCGGCCCTCAAAATCCGAAACCGGCTACAAGGCAAAGAGGACATCTCCCAAGAGGAGAAGTCCAAACTAGCCTGGGCTGAGCAAAAGGTATAAGAGGGGCGTCTTCACTATGCGCAGCTGCCTCAGATGAAGGAGATGATGGCCACCAAAAGGCAACGCTCGATCGAGAGTGCCAAGGACACTCCGGCGTGCAAGCGGCAACGCGGGCCCAAGGTGGTTATCCCTCAACTTACGACGAAAAAGCCCAAGCAGAAGCCCAAGTTGAGTGACATGTGCAAGAGAAACCTCATCGTGGCCCTGACCGACCGCAGCGAGGAAAATGGGAAGATGACGGCGGCGCAGTGGAAACAGGTCCACGCCCAGCTGGTGGAATCCCTTTTCGCGCGAATGGAGGACGCGCCGGACGCTCCCATGCCCACCTTCGACGGTGCGGGATGGCTGAACGGGGTGAAGATCCTCAAGTGCAACGACGACCCGACGAGGAAGTGGCTGGTGCAAACGGCGCCCAAATTGGAAGCTCTGTGGGAGGGGCCAAGCGGGAGGTAGTGGACAGGGAGATGATCCCGTCCATCCCAAAGGCGAAGGTGCGAAGGGGACCGAGCACTGAAACTCCTCCAGAGGCAGAACACAGATGTGCCAACGGCTGACTGGAGAATCCTGCATGTTGGTATCCCATTACCCAATGAGGGGGGCCAGCACATGATCCTCCAGATCAACAAGGAGGCAGAAGACATCCTCTACCCGAGATTCGGGAAGATGGCATGGGGCGTAGGCAGTGTTTACCTACGTCTCAAAAAGCGCCATCCCGAAGACAAGGACGCGCATACCCTGCAGGCAGGCGAGGTGGAAAAGGACCTAGGTCTGGAGTCCATCGTGGAGGCCGCCCAGGATCTTGCGCTGGACGACTCTGATGCCGCAGAGGACGAGGACGGTTACCTGTTATATAGTTAACCCGTCGTGTGCAGTTGAGCCAGCCTCCCATGACATTGAGAGTGCTGCAGCTCAACTTGCATAAAAGCAAGATCGCGCCCCTCATTGCCTTGGAGCAAGGGCCCGTCGACATAGCTTTGGTCCAGGAGCCATGGCTTGCCTCCGGCATTGCTGTGGCCAGATTAAAGTCCTCTAATTACAATCTTTTCCACCCACCATCGGTAAGCAGGACCAGAACCGACGTACTCGTACGAAAGGGAATCCATGCTTATCTTATGTCTCATTACAGCACTGATGATAGCATCCTGCTACATGGCACACGACAGGCCAGCTCCACCGGAGGAGCTAGAGAGTCTGGTGGCGGAAGTCAGTCCGAAAGACCAGCAACTCATAGTTGGTAACGACGCCAATGCCCACCATAGCGTGTGGGGAAGCCCCGATATCAATAGAAAGAGGTGAGTCACTTCTAGACTTTATACTATCCACTAATCTAGATGTAGCAAACGTGGGGGAGGAGCACACTCGTGCAGCCATATGAGCCCCAATGACTATAGACCGATAAGCCTCACCTCTTTTCTACTCAAAACACTATAAAAGCTGCTGGATCTACACATCAGAAACGATGTAGGTGGGCGGATGTCAACCAACCAGCATGCCTACACCAAAGGGAAATCGGTAGAGACGGCACTGCATTCGCTAGTAGCCACTAGAGTTGGGTAAAGAGTGTTCACTTTACTGAACAAGTTCAGTTGCTCACTTTTAAGTGAGTGAACAACTCGCTCACTTTGCTCAGTTGCTCATTTGTTCACTCAGTTGTTCACTTGCTCACTCAGTTGTTCACTTGTTCAGTTGTTCACTCAGTTGTTCACTTGTTCAGTTGTTCACTCAGTTGTTCACTTGTTCAGTTGTTCAGTTGTTCCCTGTTCAGTGGTTCACTCAGTTCAATGCTTTGTTTTTCAAACATTTGTTAATTTTCCCCAGTTTATTTTTGTGGTTCATTCGAAATACATACAAATAGATGTACATATGTATGAATAAGTATGTTTAGCAAAACCCCCCACCCAAATATTAAAGAATATCGAATAACAATACATAAAAGTAAGAATCCCTCTCTACGCAGCAAAATTGTCTAAGTCTAATGTCATATGGCTAAAAGTAATTTTGTCTTGTGTATCGCAGAGTAATCTTGAACAGGGAACAACTGAACAAGTGAGTCAACAGGGAACAACTGAACAAGTGAGTGAACAACTGAACAAGTGAACAACTGAGTGAGCAACTGAACAAGTGAACAACTGAGTGAACAACTGAACAAGTGAACAACTGAGTGAGCAACTGAACAAGTGAACAACTGAGTGAACAACTGAACAAGTGAACAACTGAACAAAAATTGAGTGAGCATGTTCAGTTCACTCAGTGAAGTGAACAGCTCATTTTTGTTCACTCACTCATGAGCAACCCAACTCTAGTAGCCACCATCGAAAATTCCCTCCAAAATAAGAAGTATGCTCTAGGAGTGTTCGTAGACATATCCGGAGCATTCAACAACGTGAATACGAGCGCGATAATGGACCGCCTAGAAGCGATCAACACACATCCCGCAATCAACCTCTGGATAAAGAACCTTCTAAGTTGTAGACGGGTGTACTCAGAGTGGGGCACCGCTTCCATGGTGAAAGGGGCACACAGAGGCACACCTCAGGGTGGGGTCCTGTCGCCCCTCCTATGGAATCTGCTGTTCGACGACCTAATAAAGAGATTCGAGAGGAGAGCCCCAAAAATAACAGCTTATGCGGACGACATAAGCATAATTATTACGGGAGTATGCCCATCGAACCTCAGCTCTATAATGGAATCAACACTCAGGGAGATATGTGAGTGGGCGGGAAAAGTAGGACTCAGTATCAACGAACCTCATCCTTTTCACCAAGAGGCATGGATCCCCCCGAAAATCTACAGAAACAAGCTTACCCCAAAAACACAAGTCAAATACCTCGGCATAGTGCTGGACAGCAAGCTGGTATGGAGACCCAATGTATTGGAAAGGGTGAAGAATGCCACCATTGCGCCATATGCATCCAAGAAGATGCTTAGCAGCTCATGGGGCCTATCACCTGCACTAATGCACTGGATCTACATTTCGGTAGTGCGACCGTCTCTGCTGTATGGAGTCTTAGTGTGGTGGCAGGCTACAGAAAAGAGAACCTACAACAAGCTAATGGATAGAACTCAGCGGCAGGCACTGCTCTGCATCACTGGGGCGCTGAGGTCAACCCCAACAAAAGCACTCGAAACAATACTCGGAATTGACCCCCTGGACATCCACGCTCAACTGACTGCAGGTAAGTCAGCACAACGCCTAGTCGCATCAGGAAATATGTCGCTGCAAGGATTCGGGCACAGTTCAATAGGCCGAGACATGATTAGTACATCTGACTAAATAATCCCCCGAACTTGCCTGGACGTCAAAACAGCGATACACATGGGACCCGACGACTGGAAAGAAAGTTGGGATCAGAATGAACACCTAAACATATACACGGATGGCTCCAAGATGGAGGAAGGAGTAGGTGCGGGCATATACTGTACAGACCCTGAAATAAGGCTGTCTTATAAGCTACCGGACCAATGCAGCATATTCCAGGCATTCCAAAGCGAGTGGCTGACCACGCCGCTGCCGCCCAGAAGCTTGGCGGCAGCGCTCCGACGCGAGAGCGGCTGCAGCGGGACAACGAGCGACATGACGACAAGGAGCGTGGGGCCTGAGGAGCAAGGCAACCACGCGTCCAAGGTGGGACGGCAAACAAGCGCCGGCAGCGAGACTGGAACAGAAAAGGCACGCGGGCAGCGGCGCCAAGCGACAGCGGAGAAGTCGTGGTCGGCTGGGACCGAACTGGCTGCAGAACTCTCTGCCCAGAACCGAGCCGCGGGCCGATATAAGAAGGAGCACAGGCGGAGGACGGGCACTTCAGTCCGAGGCTTCAAAGCGATCACGAGCAAACCAAAGTCTTGAAAAACATATCCTGTTCCAGGATCCCTGACCTACAGTACCGCGCCGCGTGTCCTTGCACAGTAAAACATATCCTGTCCCAGGATCCCTGAGCTACAGTGCCGCGCCGCGTGTCCTTGCACAGTAAAGCATATCCTGTTCCAGGATCCCTGACCTACAGTGCCGTACCGTGTATCCTACCGCTGTAAGCCACATCCTGAACCAGGATCCCTGACGTACAGTGCCGCGCCGCGTGTCCGGGCACAGTGAAGCATATCCTTTCTAGGGATCCCCGACACACAGTGCAAAGCCATTTGGCCTTCCCACCACGCGGAGAAGCTCCACTCCGGATCCCCGATCTTCGGAGCCGTGCCGCATCCCTTTGCCCAGGGCCAACGAATTTGGGTGATGTATCCCCACAATAAATCCCCACATCAACAGGGCGACACGCCATTTAACCCGGGCAGGCCAACACCGCACTAGGAACAGTATGAGTACCCGTTGGATAGGCTCCCGCCGAAAGGACGAGCTGCAGAGCTTGGCAAAGGAATTTGGGCTAGGAGAAACCGGTACCGTAGACGAACTACGCGGCCGGCTTTCAGCCTTTGCCGCACGCAGCGGACACTCGGAAGAAGTACAGGCGAGACTTGAGGAGTTGAATGCCCACTTTGGAAACATACCTAGTCCCAGGGAGCATCGAAGCCCGGCTACGTCACCAGGGCCAGAAACTCGTACGAAACGAGAAGGAGACATGGACGAGAAGAAACGACAACTGAACGTGCCCGAATTGAACAACCTGAACAGAAACCCAGACTCCAAAGGCACTGGAATCCAGGAATCGGTAGCCGAGTCGGTGGCCATGGAGGGCACCCAGTCGCATCGTCCGGCCCAAGGGCCACCACGCCTACTGCTACCAGAGCTGCCCAGCACGAGCAGAGGGTCTGGCACCGGGCAACGCGTAATTCCGGTGACAACGCCCATTGCCCGTGGCAACGACCAGCAGCAGGCCAGAACGTTAAGGAGACCAGGAGCCCCAACCGAGCCAGACCGTATGGTCAACGGACCAGGACCCAACGCCAGCGTGCCCCGGGCCACAGCGGCCGCATCCTCGATTTCAGAGGAACGCTACCAACCAAGCGGCACCCAGACCCATCCAGCCCCTCGCCCCGGAAGGGGAATCTCTTATTCCTTACTGGCGGACAAACTCAGGAAGTGGGGACTCACTTTTGATGGCCACGCCGACCCATTGGCATTTATCGAGCGACTGGAGGAGAGAGTAGAATCCTACGGAGGGAGCCCAGAGCAGCTACCACGTGCCATCTCGGGCCTCTTAACCGGCAAAGCAGAGGGATGGTTCCGCACCTTCCAGATGCAAGGACAAAACTGGACTGATTTCCGCAAAGAGTTCTTGGAGTTCTTCCAGCCGCCCAGATACTTCCAACGCTTGGAAGACACCATCCGACTAGAAGCCCAAAGAATCATTCCGGGATTACATGATTGAACTTCGTCTGATGATGCAACGCGCCCGATACACCCGTGAGCAAGAGCTAGACAGGATCTATGAGAATCTTAGACCGGAATATCAACTGTACACTCGCAGGCATGATTTCCGGTCACTGACCGAATTATCGCAGCTTATCGCCGCCTACGAAACTGCCCGGGATTGAGACGCCCTTCGCATCAATGGATCCGGACAGTCAAACCGACCCCAGGCCACGCACACCGGCAACGGCACCACAGCTCAATGGAACACCCCAAATGAGGCCAACGGGACATCCAATGTCGCCAATCGGGTTATCACCCAAGAGGAGGAGCGGCCACTCGATGTGCGACTAGCGTGCCGAAACTGCGCAGAAGAAGGACACTTCAGCAGTGCGTGCTCCAGTCCACAGAAACTATTCTGTTGGGAATGTGGCCGCCGCGGGGTAAGGACAATCAACTGAAGCCGGAAGACCGAGTCGGGAAACGGGTCGGGTCTCCGATCAACCGGGACACGGACGGAGACACGCGCCCAGAATCAGGAGCAATCCACCCGCTAAGAATGGTAGGAGGAAGGATCGCAGGGCTGGTCACCATCGGTGCTACAGCGTTTGAAGCCACTCTCGACACTGGAGCCACACGATCCTTTATCAGTCAACGAATGGCCGAGGAGATTGGGACGGCGAGAAACAAACGAGCGGTGAGGATCAGCCTAGCAGATGGGTCAAGGAAGGAGATCACTCAGGCGGTAGGGGTAAAGGTGCGCCTCGACCAGCAGGAAACCCAGGTATCGCTCTTAGTCTTACCCACAGTGTTGGATGACCTTATCTTAGGCCTTGACTTTCTGTGTGGAGTGCGAGC